TTAGGTCGCATGGGATGAAATGAAGTTATTACAGGTGTATTGAAAAAGATAAAAATTAGCTTTCAATATTTAATAACATACCATCTTGTATAATCTTTTAAACTCATTTGAAAATCATCTTCATATTTCGATTTCAGATCAGGTTGACAACGTTGAATGATAGCCAAAAGTGGAGAACTAAATCAATAGAAATTGAAAATGTCAAAAATTCTATCTAATATACACATTACTTTTCAAGTCTTTTGAGAAGATAATTAACATTATTTAGAAGAAATATTGCTCGAATAGTTATATCATGACGTGATATATAACCATCAGTTTTTTTCGATAAACTTGCATGAAGCCATCGAACCAATTGAGCTAAACAATGTTTTTTTTGTTTCTTTCTCAAATTAATTAATCTTTGAATAAAAAGAAAAAAAAAATCTTCTCCTACCAAAATATGTTCCCAAATCATAAAGACCTTTGTCTTTTCCTGATAAACCAACACTATTTGTTCCTTATAAATCAAATGAAAATAAAAATTTGGGTGTGGGTGTGGATATGCGTAAAGAGAAAACCACACCCACACCCACATCCCACCCCAAAACGGAATAAGGCAATAAGGACGTAAGGTTATAAGGAAGTAAGATAATAAGAGGATAAGGCTATAAAGGCGTAAGGCTATAAGGAAGTGAAACTTTACAATTTCGAGAGACTATTTACAGTTTCAGATTCTGTGAGCGTGAAAATCTTTATTTTCGAAAAATAGCCTTTCCATAACGAAAAAGTTAATTTCACAAATTTTTACCCTGTTTCACCACCGATATTCACCAGTAAACAGTCCACACTAGTGATACGGTGACAAAGTATGTGATAGTAATAGTACAATAAATGTTGATAATTTTCTTTCCGCACTTATCTTTATTGTATTAAAAGCTAAACTACCATGTTTACATTCAAATATACAATTTTTGAAGCCATTTTACTCAAATAAATGATGAACAACTTTATTATTTAGCTAATTTAGTATGCTTTAAAAAAAAATAATTTTTTTTTTAAATAAATTTTCCTTGCATTAGGATTCTACTGTTCGTTTTATTGAACTTTTACAAGATCACCATCTTAATTTATCACCTAATGATTTTTCATTATATATACATGGTGAACCAGTATTACCATTAAAATTTGTTTCTCTATTTGATTCATCATTACCAAATGAATCAAATAATCAAGAATTACGAAAAAGATTTATTCTTTATCATGAACTTGATCATCATTGTGAAAAATTTGATGAAAATCTTTTGAATTTTAATAGATGTTTAACACAAACAGTAACTGACTACCACGGACAAAATTAACACTACACCTATTTTTGATAGATATTTTCATTAATGGTCAATCACGAAAAAGATGAGTTCTTCAAAAATTTTTTCGTCTATAGGGCTTTGTACAGCTCGTTTCGCCAATCATTTTGGTAAAAAAATGTTATTCAAATTTATCTGATAAATAACGGACCTTGGGTCAGAATACTCAAAACATCACCTACTACTCAGCAGTGGTCACGAACAGTCGGAAGTTTTGAGTATTTTGACTCTAATGCCATTATTTATTGAGTAAATTTGAATATTTTTTTACCAAAATGATCGGCGAAACAAACTCTACAAAGCCCTATAGACGAAAAAAAATTTTGAAGAACTCATATTTTCCGTGATTGACCATTAATGAAAATATCTATCAAAAATAGGTGTAGTGTTGATTTTGTCCGTGGTAGTGATGTAAGAGAATTATTAAATGGTACATATACACATTTTTTCAAATTTTGAAAAAATTTCACAATTAATTGATGTGAATAATAATGTACACATTGAGGATATATCGATAAATCAAAAAAGAAATTATTGATATTTTAGATCAATCAACATCAGAAAATGAACGTTTACCTGAACTATTAGCACCTGAAATTTTACAACAACAAACAAAAAATGACAATTAATTATTGTTTCGAATTTTTAGTACAATTTATTTGACTTTCCATATTTGTTTTATATGAACAGTATTTGTGCATAGATTTTTTTTGTATTGTTAAGAACAAGAAAATTATAGATAATTTCTCGGTTTTTGTATTCTCTATATAATAATAAATATGATAGAAGACAAAATATTTTTAAAAATAATTTTATCATTAATGGAAATACGTAATAGATCGATCAAAAAAGACAGTTTATCGCTAGATTGAAAGAGATTTTCAAATACTTTTGAATAAATGAATGTTTTTTCTTAAGTACAAGAATCATAACGAGTGAATACGTATGATGTCGTCGATAGTCAACAGATAGAATAGATCTAGAATGAAGGAGGACGAATATCGAGGCATATATTATTCTCTTTTCTTCCTCCTTGTATATAGATAGTAATATATATTCTACATTTCATTTTCACTCGTTCGAAATGAAGACAATATTAACAAGGGGTAGGTCTCTCTGATATTTTATGAAATATGTACTCTATAGAAATCATAGATGTATAATAAAATGTCTCTAATATTTAGTGATGCAGATGCACTTATACATGATTATGACAGTAAAGCACCTTTCTGATAAATAATATTTTCTATTCATATTTACAGAAAAAGAAACATGTAAATTTTGTTTTCTTCGTAAAGGTTTCGTTGGGCGGCAAGTTTCATCAAATGTGTATTTACATTATTTTTATTTACTAGTCTTGTAATTAGTTATGTACGGAATCATATATTTATCCCATTATTGTCACGTTCTTATATGAAAACGTGTTCAAGTTTCATTTCAAAATAATACTGCTCTTATCATTGGAGATCAGTTAGTGGGTATTTATTAAGTACTTCTGTATTTAAAGTACGTCTTTTTATTTTAGCTGGTGGTTGTCTTAGTTGTGCATTAGCTTATTGAATTTGCACGTGAAACTCGTTGTCTTGCTTTATTAGATGTACAAAAAAAACCATTAGATGATCTCAAACATTCACTGCAACAAATCTATGGCAAAGATTATTGCCGTATTTATACTTATCATCATGATCTTAGGTTCGTTCTTATTTATTCCTAAAGGAAAAAAAACAATTATTAAAGTTTTTTATATTCTATAGTGATTTGAATTCTCTTAAATACACAATAACAGCTATTTGCGAAGAATTGAGTAACAATATTTTAGTATTGATCAATTGTGCTGGTAAATATTATTTAAAATAAGAATTATTTATATAAAACTAATTAAACTTGTTTTCTATTTTATAACTATAGCTCATTTCAAAGATATTATGTCTCATACAGATACTGCATATCAATATACATTTATCCTCAATACACTTGTTCCAATACTTGTATGAATTATTTTATTTTGGTAGATCCATTTGAGATGATTTTATAATTAATAGATTACAAAATATTTACTTGATGAAATGATAGCTCGTAATCATGGACAAATTTTTAATATTCTCAGTAGTGAAGCATTAAATGGAGATGCTTTTATTTCAACATATATTCATCTTCAACAGCAGCTTTATTTAGTAAGCTTTTTTTTTAGAAATTGTTCTTAGTTCTCTTTTTATTTTTGCAAAAATTAATTGATAGATTTTATGAAAACACTTAGTCACGAATTAATTCTTTCTAAGGCAACTCGTGTTCGAACTATAGCTATTTTACCATTTTATCTTAATGGTGGAATCTATACAACATTATATAAATGGTAAATATCGTGTGAAATATTTAGTCTTTATAATAGGGGAAACATTTTTCTTTTGCGGAAAAGTGGAAGTTTTAGGTGTACCTCCTCGACGTTTTGATGACGTCGCCCTTGAAATCATGTGTAGAACTAAATCACGTCGTAGTCCATTACTCTTACCTTCATTTTAATTACATATAACATATTTATTACGCTGGTAAGTTCACATAACTCCTCTTCTATAAACATTATTTAAAATATTTTATTTGTATTATGGAATATAAGGTGTGTCTCCGCATGACACTTCAGGTTCATTTCTTTTAGATGTTGGTCGTACACAAACATTTGTTAATCAACATTAGATATTGGTTCTCATTCATGATCTACATTTAGCAATTTTTTTTCTTATTATCGTTATTAATTCTGTCTTTTTTTCTTGTATTACTTGTATCTACTGTATTCGAAAGAATAATAAAACTATGAATCTCTCTTTTTTGTAGATTAATTGCAAGTTCATCATGGCATCACCATCATCTTCATCAAATACTCCAACAATTTTTATTACATTGTCCGATTGGATCGACACCAACTCACTAACTGGACCATTTACAATGGAATACACAAGACATGAATTTGATGATAAGGATCCAAAGAAGATGGGTAACGTCTACGATCAAATTCGATTTCACGTTGACAACATTCCATCTGAACACGAACTTGATCTGAAAAAAGCTAAATGCAAACGTGATTATCGATTAGCATTAGCGATCTGGGACGCAAATAATGTCACATTAATTTCATATGAACCAATAGTGTTATCAGAACATGGATTAATTGAAAAAGATAAGCCAAAAGAACAAAACTCATTTCATATGAAAGAGCTAGAAATTGTTCGTCGACCCAGAAAACGTTCTCCCGTCGACTTCTGACGTCGCATCCAGACACCTGGTGAATTGATCTTTTAATTTTAATAGACAAAACAAAAAAAAAGAATAAAGAACAAACAGTAACTGTATATGATCATTCTACATGATCAAACAATGATGAAATTATTTCTTTTTCTCTTCTTATTTTACTAGAAAAGGAAATCGATCATTACTATTATTACTGGAAAAGAATCGAATAGAACATAAAAAGAGAGTATGAAATAAGATAACTACACATACAGAGCGGGAACCCGACACTTGCGCACGGAAACTTGCGCACGAGATTAAAAAATTCATATTTACAAATAAGAAATTATATAATCTGATCAATCAATAACTGTAATGAATAGACATAGTCTGTTTGATTATTTGATCTAATTAAAATGAGCTCATGTTCGGAAAAAACGTGTCCTATATATAAGAGATGGCCATTCAGATACGAAAAATTTCATTGTCAACTCTTGTTGAATATGTCTACTTCTGTCGAATTCATTACTACTACAAAAGGTCGTCCTTTAATGATATTGGATGGTTTCTCATATATTCAAGATCGTCGAACTGATACTAAAACTTATTGGCGCTGTGAAAATCATAAAACTTTTAATTGTCATTTTCGTATACATACATGTAACGAATCTGTTACCAAAACACATGTTAAAATATTAAAACAACATGGTGATCATACAGCCAGTTGCAAAAGAGATTTTATTAAATTATCATTAAGAAAATTTCATGAAGATATTGCTGATCGTGCAAAAAATACTGAAGAAACAACAGATACTGTATTAATACAATGTATATCGAAATTACCTGATTCAACACGTATACGATTGCCACCATTAGATCATGTTAAAAGAACAATTTTACGACATCGAGAAAAAATCGATTTACCACAAGTACCAAATGATGTGGATTTTCCTACTATTCCTGGGGTTTTACAATTAACGAAACGAAATGATACGTTCTTACGTATTGATACACGTCCAGGTGAGTAAAACACATCTCCTGATTGTTTTAAAAAGACATTTAATAAAGAGCTTGATTAGTCGCTTATTTTAATATTCCTGTTTAGGACCTGATAGAATACTTATCTTCAGTAGCTCTGAACAACTTGAAATCTTACAAACATCAACTAATTTTCTGATGGACGGAACTTTTGACGTATGAAAAATATCTTTTAAAAACAAATATTTATTCTACTAACCAAAAATCTTTGTTTTGATTAGATAGTTCCAGAAATATTTTACCAGCTGTATGTCATTCATGCAGTACATCGTGAACATGTTATACCTATTGCATTTTGTTTACTTCGACGAAAAAATATGACCACATATCAAGAAATGATTAACAAAATATTAGAATTTGCACCAGCATGGAATCCTCAAAATATAATGTTAGATTTTGAAAAGGCTGTTTTAAACGTTCTTTCAAATAGTTTTCCACACGTTTCTTTATCTGGTTGCTATTTTCACCTGAGACAAAGTATTCATCGACAACTACAGGTATGACTAACTTATGTCATAGTAAAATACATAAATTATTCGGTTCTGATCGTATTATATATTATTTGTTTTAGACACAAGGTTTACAAAAGCAATATGAAGAAAATGTTGATTTCGCCCATGGTATACATAAAATTGCAGCATTGGCATTTATTCATTCAGATAATATTATTAATGCATTTACAGATCTTAGTGTTCATCTGGATGATACATTTCAAATTATGTTGGATTATTTCGAAGATAATTACATCGGTCGTTTTCGAGCAAATGGATCACGTACACGACCACTATTTCCTATTGAATATTGGAATGTTTATGAACGAACTAAAAATCAACAGATGAGAACTAACAATTCAGCAGAAGCCTGGAACAGACGCATCAGTAAGTTTATAAATATAAAATAAAAAACGAATTTTTACACTTGAATAATTTTCTGACTTCAGAATGTGTTTTTCAATGCTCACACCCGACGCTATGGAAATTTATTGAAAAAATTATCTTTGAAGAAGATTCAAATATTCATACCAAAATCGTTCGAGCCAATGCTGGCGAACCAGTTAATAAAAAAAAGAAGTATCAATATCTTGATCAACGATTATTTAATCTTGTTTCTAATCCTCATCAAAATATTATTGATCAAATTAATGCTATAGCACATAATATTATTCTATAATTTTTTTTCTTGCTTTCCTTACATACTTAATTGTTGTATTTGTGATCTTGAAATAAATACAGCAATTTTGTTTCTTCTATTATCTCTTTGTACTCTCACTATCTTTCGAAGTATCAATAATAATTACTATGAATTTTCATCTCGTGCGCAAGTGTCGTAGACCCGCGGTCTTCATCGTTCAAGAGAGAAGACTTGAGAGCATCGAAGTATATCGAAATTTGATTGATCAACAATTGACGAATCAAATGAGTTCTTGGTGGCGATTTTCAAAAATGATATTCTAAATTTATTTTCCTTTTGATTTAGAGTTTTAATAGGATAAATCGATGGAAAAATTCTTCTCTTTCGATCTACACAAGACTAACATTCCTAACTTATTCCGTTCAAGAGCAATAAGACTTTTCCCGAGACCTCTGATTTCAGCCAATTGATCTGATGATCTAACTCTGTTATTTCAATATTTTTGAAATATTGACTCCTTCGTTACATAAAGGCTGATTGTAGAATTTCACAAGTATTGAGATAACAGTGTCAGATTGTTCTGAATCTAAAAGTAATTATCATCATTCGATTCAGCATGATGAGTTATTCCTATCTAGCTGCTTCTTCGGGTAATCGTAGGTCAATTGCCGGAAATCGAGAGTCTCACGAAAAGTCTTATAACTTTTGAACGGAACAAACTAAGACTGTTGGCTTTGCGTAGATTGAAAGAGAAGATTTTTTTCTGTCAATTAGTTACATCAAAAGTCCAAATCGAAAGAAAAATAACTTCAGAATATCGCTTTCGAAAATCTACACCAAGGACTCATATGATTGGTCCATTGCTCACCAATCAAATTTCAATATACTTCGATGGCCTGGGGTCTTCTCTCTTGAATGGTGAAAATCACAGGTCTCTATGATGTTCCTATCACAAATTATTCAAAAAAAACATTGGAGCACATTACGGTTATTTTGAAATGGATAGTCATTTTGTGAATCATAGTATCAATATGTACATTAAATTTCTGCAGAATATATTTAGATCAAGTTGATACTTTAGATTTAGTATGATAATCACAAACATTTTAGTTGAAGTTAATTAAATCAAAAGTTTTTCTTTCATAAATAATTCTTTGACAATAAAATAATAAATATTTGTTAAATGATTAATTCAATTCGAATTTCTTTATTTCAATTAATGTTATAATAAAAATATTTTTATTTACAAAATTTAATTGCTATATATATATATATATATATATTTTATCTAATTTATTTATAAGTTAAATAACGATATATATTATAAACGATTTTCAAAAAAATTATCAATAATCGATTCGAGCATACGTGGATCATAACGAATATATTTTTCTCGATTTTTTGTAAAATCTTTATTTGCAAATTTATTATAATAAGTTTTAAACATATCCATAATTAACATTTTGCCTTCTGTTCTTAATTGATAACGTAAATCAACATCACTAACAATATATTCTTGACATTGTTGTCGTAAATTATCAATAGCTATATTAACAGATGCAAAACTTTCTTTTAATTGTTCACGATCACGATCACGTAACTAAATAACAAAAAAATGAGATATTATAAGAAAACGAAAACAAAAAAAAATTTTTTAATGGAAATAAAAACAAACTTTTCCATCAGATAAACGATTAACATTATCATATTCAAGCATTTGTTGAATAGCAATAACTAATGGAGTATAACTAAAAATAGAAACAATGCATAATAAGAATTTTATTTATTTTCAAGAAGTTTTATCGATCATATTTATGTAGAGATAGTATCCAATTTTTACATTAGTCTATTACTCATGCGCTATGTTGTGTTTTTCGACATTCAAGTCAGTTACTCTGAATTCAATATAAAATCTTCTAAATGATAAATATGACATGTAAGTACGTAAGAGCTCACAACTCAATGATTCGGATCAACTAAACCAACGTACTGGTGATGATGAGTGGGGTTGGTGCTCGGACAATTCGCTGCATGAAATATTAATCTTAAAGTATTCTCAAGGTGCATTGAAATAGTATGGATGTGGTTAAGGCATCAGTGAAGGCACATATACCCTTTTTGACTTCGATAATATATTTAAAATAAAACATTAGATAGCTTACAATTATACAAGTAAAAGAAAAAAAGGATGTGGATAGGAGTATTGGTGCAGGTGAAGCTCTTATCTTCGTTTACACTCGGTCGGATTCGGATCTGGAATTTTTCTGTTAGTCGGGTCTGAAAATCTTGGATCCGACGGTTCTAGCCTTGTGAGAAATCCATCGAATAGAAAAATTCATTGAAAATATGAAAGTACGATTCAATCGGGTCCGAAAAAGTGTGATCAACCGAGTCCGGATTCACAAATTTTGGACCGGACGAGGTTTAACACTTCCATACAATGGAGAAAATTTCATTCGGACATTCCGATCCATTTGAATGACTTGGAATAAGATTTTTTCCCTTGCCACCATTCTTTATATTTTATTTCCTAGCCCAACTCAACGCTATACTAGCAGTTACTGAACAAGTAAAAATGAGTTTTAACAATAGATCATCGACATTTAGTCTAAATCCTTGCAGTAGTATTCTTTAGCTTGTATCACTCGTTACATAATGATGGGCATAAATTAGAATTTACCATATCTTCAATACTCCACTTATTCTAACCTATCGATTTGTGAGAGCTATATTTTAGGTCGCATGGGATGAAATGAAGTTATTACAGGTGTATTGAAAAAGATAAAAATTAGCTTTCAATATTTAATAACATACCATCTTGTATAATCTTTTAAACTCATTTGAAAATCATCTTCATATTTCGATTTCAGATCAGGTTGACAACGTTGAATGATAGCCAAAAGTGGAGAACTAAATCAATAGAAATTGAAAATGTCAAAAATTCTATCTAATATACACATTACTTTTCAAGTCTTTTGAGAAGATAATTAACATTATTTAGAAGAAATATTGCTCGAATAGTTATATCATGACGTGATATATAACCATCAGTTTTTTTCGATAAACTTGCATGAAGCCATCGAACCAATTGAGCTAAACAATGTTTTTTTTGTTTCTTTCTCAAATTAATTAATCTTTGAATAAAAAGAAAAAAAAAATCTTCTCCTACCAAAATATGTTCCCAAATCATAAAGACCTTTGTCTTTTCCTGATAAACCAACACTATTTGTTCCTTATAAATCAAATGAAAATAAAAATTTGGGTGTGGGTGTGGATATGCGTAAAGAGAAAACCACACCCACACCCACATCCCACCCCAAAACGGAATAAGGCAATAAGGACGTAAGGTTATAAGGAAGTAAGATAATAAGAGGATAAGGCTATAAAGGCGTAAGGCTATAAGGAAGTGAAACTTTACAATTTCGAGAGACTATTTACAGTTTCAGATTCTGTGAGCGTGAAAATCTTTATTTTCGAAAAATAGCCTTTCCATAACGAAAAAGTTAATTTCACAAATTTTTACCCTGTTTCACCACCGATATTCACCAGTAAACAGTCCACACTAGTGATACGGTGACAAAGTATGTGATAGTAATAGTACAATAAATGTTGATAATTTTCTTTCCGCACTTATCTTTATTGTATTAAAAGCTAAACTACCATGTTTACATTCAAATATACAATTTTTGAAGCCATTTTACTCAAATAAATGATGAACAACTTTATTATTTAGCTAATTTAGTATGCTTTAAAAAAAAATAATTTTTTTTTTAAATAAATTTTCCTTGCATTAGGATTCTACTGTTCGTTTTATTGAACTTTTACAAGATCACCATCTTAATTTATCACCTAATGATTTTTCATTATATATACATGGTGAACCAGTATTACCATTAAAATTTGTTTCTCTATTTGATTCATCATTACCAAATGAATCAAATAATCAAGAATTACGAAAAAGATTTATTCTTTATCATGAACTTGATCATCATTGTGAAAAATTTGATGAAAATCTTTTGAATTTTAATAGATGTTTAACACAAACAGTAACTGACTACCACGGACAAAATTAACACTACACCTATTTTTGATAGATATTTTCATTAATGGTCAATCACGAAAAAGATGAGTTCTTCAAAAATTTTTTCGTCTATAGGGCTTTGTACAGCTCGTTTCGCCAATCATTTTGGTAAAAAAATGTTATTCAAATTTATCTGATAAATAACGGACCTTGGGTCAGAATACTCAAAACATCACCTACTACTCAGCAGTGGTCACGAACAGTCGGAAGTTTTGAGTATTTTGACTCTAATGCCATTATTTATTGAGTAAATTTGAATATTTTTTTACCAAAATGATCGGCGAAACAAACTCTACAAAGCCCTATAGACGAAAAAAAATTTTGAAGAACTCATATTTTCCGTGATTGACCATTAATGAAAATATCTATCAAAAATAGGTGTAGTGTTGATTTTGTCCGTGGTAGTGATGTAAGAGAATTATTAAATGGTACATATACACATTTTTTCAAATTTTGAAAAAATTTCACAATTAATTGATGTGAATAATAATGTACACATTGAGGATATATCGATAAATCAAAAAAGAAATTATTGATATTTTAGATCAATCAACATCAGAAAATGAACGTTTACCTGAACTATTAGCACCTGAAATTTTACAACAACAAACAAAAAATGACAATTAATTATTGTTTCGAATTTTTAGTACAATTTATTTGACTTTCCATATTTGTTTTATATGAACAGTATTTGTGCATAGATTTTTTTTGTATTGTTAAGAACAAGAAAATTATAGATAATTTCTCGGTTTTTGTATTCTCTATATAATAATAAATATGATAGAAGACAAAATATTTTTAAAAATAATTTTATCATTAATGGAAATACGTAATAGATCGATCAAAAAAGACAGTTTATCGCTAGATTGAAAGAGATTTTCAAATACTTTTGAATAAATGAATGTTTTTTCTTAAGTACAAGAATCATAACGAGTGAATACGTATGATGTCGTCGATAGTCAACAGATAGAATAGATCTAGAATGAAGGAGGACGAATATCGAGGCATATATTATTCTCTTTTCTTCCTCCTTGTATATAGATAGTAATATATATTCTACATTTCATTTTCACTCGTTCGAAATGAAGACAATATTAACAAGGGGTAGGTCTCTCTGATATTTTATGAAATATGTACTCTATAGAAATCATAGATGTATAATAAAATGTCTCTAATATTTAGTGATGCAGATGCACTTATACATGATTATGACAGTAAAGCACCTTTCTGATAAATAATATTTTCTATTCATATTTACAGAAAAAGAAACATGTAAATTTTGTTTTCTTCGTAAAGGTTTCGTTGGGCGGCAAGTTTCATCAAATGTGTATTTACATTATTTTTATTTACTAGTCTTGTAATTAGTTATGTACGGAATCATATATTTATCCCATTATTGTCACGTTCTTATATGAAAACGTGTTCAAGTTTCATTTCAAAATAATACTGCTCTTATCATTGGAGATCAGTTAGTGGGTATTTATTAAGTACTTCTGTATTTAAAGTACGTCTTTTTATTTTAGCTGGTGGTTGTCTTAGTTGTGCATTAGCTTATTGAATTTGCACGTGAAACTCGTTGTCTTGCTTTATTAGATGTACAAAAAAAACCATTAGATGATCTCAAACATTCACTGCAACAAATCTATGGCAAAGATTATTGCCGTATTTATACTTATCATCATGATCTTAGGTTCGTTCTTATTTATTCCTAAAGGAAAAAAAACAATTATTAAAGTTTTTTATATTCTATAGTGATTTGAATTCTCTTAAATACACAATAACAGCTATTTGCGAAGAATTGAGTAACAATATTTTAGTATTGATCAATTGTGCTGGTAAATATTATTTAAAATAAGAATTATTTATATAAAACTAATTAAACTTGTTTTCTATTTTATAACTATAGCTCATTTCAAAGATATTATGTCTCATACAGATACTGCATATCAATATACATTTATCCTCAATACACTTGTTCCAATACTTGTATGAATTATTTTATTTTGGTAGATCCATTTGAGATGATTTTATAATTAATAGATTACAAAATATTTACTTGATGAAATGATAGCTCGTAATCATGGACAAATTTTTAATATTCTCAGTAGTGAAGCATTAAATGGAGATGCTTTTATTTCAACATATATTCATCTTCAACAGCAGCTTTATTTAGTAAGCTTTTTTTTTAGAAATTGTTCTTAGTTCTCTTTTTATTTTTGCAAAAATTAATTGATAGATTTTATGAAAACACTTAGTCACGAATTAATTCTTTCTAAGGCAACTCGTGTTCGAACTATAGCTATTTTACCATTTTATCTTAATGGTGGAATCTATACAACATTATATAAATGGTAAATATCGTGTGAAATATTTAGTCTTTATAATAGGGGAAACATTTTTCTTTTGCGGAAAAGTGGAAGTTTTAGGTGTACCTCCTCGACGTTTTGATGACGTCGCCCTTGAAATCATGTGTAGAACTAAATCACGTCGTAGTCCATTACTCTTACCTTCATTTTAATTACATATAACATATTTATTACGCTGGTAAGTTCACATAACTCCTCTTCTATAAACATTATTTAAAATATTTTATTTGTATTATGGAATATAAGGTGTGTCTCCGCATGACACTTCAGGTTCATTTCTTTTAGATGTTGGTCGTACACAAACATTTGTTAATCAACATTAGATATTGGTTCTCATTCATGATCTACATTTAGCAATTTTTTTTCTTATTATCGTTATTAATTCTGTCTTTTTTT